AATTAAAACGCTTTGAAAAATCAATATGTACATTGATTTTTCAAAGCGTTTTCTGAGTGCCCACGAAAGGAATCGAACCTTCACACCCTTGCGAATGGCAGATTTTGAGTCTGCTGCGTCTACCAATTCCGCCACATGGGCATCTTAGTTTATAGTTCTTAGTTCATAGTTTTTAGTTCGTTTGCTCAGCAGGAACCAACAAGGGGCCTGAAAAGCAAAAGTGGCAGGCAACTAAAATGAAATAAGAACTATCCCGGCGTTCCAGTTTCAGCCTGGCCTGGTTCCGCAAAAGATCTAAAAACCAGGAACTGTGAACTTGGAACTATTCGGGCTGCAATATTACGCAATGCCGCTATTTCAGCCAAAATGAACAGGGTATATTTTTGCCAACAACCGCTCTTTTAGCGGCAGCAGCTCTTTTTAGGCAGGAAAACCTTTCTAAGTACGGCTAATATTTTAGTAATCATGTTCATAGCATGTGTGTCTGGCGGGGCGCTGCCGTAAAGGTAGCGCCCGGCTTGTAGAAAGTAAAATTAATGTCATTCAGTTAAACTACGCTCCCCGTCATACCAGGGCGTGACACCCCTCTCTGCAACGCAGAGAGGGGAAGCGCATCGTAGATGCGCAGGGGTGAGTTATACTAACCAAACGACAATGGAATGTAAAATGTAAATTGCCTCCTAAATAACAACGATTGATGCTGACCATTGGTTTAATACGCGAAGGCAAAATTCCGGCAGATAACCGGGTGGCACTCACCCCCTCTCAGTGCAAATGGGTGAATAAAAACTCCGCCGATGTCAGGATAGTAGTACAATCCTGCCCGACCCGCTGCTTTAGCGACCGCGAATACCAGCTGGCCGGCGTGGAGGTTAGGGAAGACATGGGCGACTGCGATATCCTCTTTGGCATCAAAGAAGTACCCATTGCCATGCTGCTACCGGGCAAGACCTACCTGTTTTTCTCGCATACCAAGAAGAAACAGCCCCATAACCAGCCCCTTTTCCATAGCCTGATGGAAAAAGGCATCACCCTGATTGATTACGAATGCCTGGAGCACGAGGACGGCCAGCGCATCATTGGCTTTGGCTTTTTTGCCGGTATTGTGGGCGCCCACAACGGTATGATGGCCTATGGCCGCCGCACCGGCCTCTACACGCTGGACAGGGTCTATAAACAAAACAATTTCCGCGAGCTGATGCATACTTATTTCGGGCTGCGCCTGCCCAATGTGAAGATTGCCATCACCGGATCGGGCCGCGTGGCGCATGGCATCCTGGAGATCATGAACCTGATGGGCATTCACGAAGTGGAACCGGATGAATACCTGGTGCGCCGCTTCTCTTACCCCGTGTACACACAGCTGAAAGGCGCCGACCTCTACGCCCATAAACTAACTGGTAAATACAACCGGGAAGATTTTCACCAGCACCCCGGCAATTATAAATGCCTGTTTC